TGTGTGTGTATGTGTGTGTATGTGTGTATATGTGTGTATGTGTATGTTTGTATGTATCTGTGTGTATGTATCTGTGTGTATGTATGTGTGTGTATGTACGTGTGTGTATGTACGTGTGTATGTGTGTATGCGCGTGTGTATGTATGTGTGTGCATGTGTGTGTGTGTGTGTGTGTATGTGTGTGTATGTACGTGTGTGTATGTACGTGTGTATGTGTGTATGCGCGTGTGTATGTATGTGTGTGCATGTGTATGATATGCTGAAATAGAAATCTTGAAATGAATGATTTGTTATCATTTTTTCATTTTGTAAAATTGTTTAATATTGTAAATCATCCGTATCACTTTTTTACCGGTAATTTTATGATGAATCCATATTTTCAATCTTGTAATTTTCTTTCAAACTTTTTTTTCTATTATTATTTTTTATTTTTGAAAAAAATTTAGTGATTCAATGAAAGTTTACATAATTATGTACATTTGAATGAACACATTCTATGAACTGATGCGATGTAAATCTTTCATTCTAAGATTCATTTTTGAATTGTTGTCCTTTCGTGTTCGTACCACTTTTCTATTATTTCTTCTTTCATCTACACTCTTTACTTTCCTACCTTATGCTATTGCTATTAACAATAATTAAAATTTAAAAATTTATTGAAATTTTAGAAAATCCCCGATTTTTTGACTATGAAATTTCGAAATATCTATTGTTATATCTTTGTTTTCTTTTTTTTTTTTTTTTAAATCCGTTTTGCTGATTGCTACTAATTAATAGTTATAAGCTAAATCCATTGCAACTGCTGGATCCATAACATTATTTATAACTTTTTAATTCAAATTAGATTTGAATTTCATTCTTTGAAATCACTGACGAAATAAGTTCGCTTAAAATTAAAAGCAAAAATGTGAGGTATATGAGAGAGGATCATAATGAACGAACAATAGAAAATACAAATTTCTTCACGTTCTGTGAGACATTTTAATTTGAAATTTGAATTTTTTAATTTAATTTTTACTTATAGTGAAATTTTGTTCTGATTTTACCAGTGCTATTTTTCATCGAAAGAAAGTGAGGAAAAAAAAAACCGCATTTCACTTTACTGTACATCTAACCTCCGGCCTTCCAAATAGCTCTTCAATCTTCCGGAAAACATATTTCTTTTTATTCTCACAGTCAGTTTGGAATTGTCATCAGTTCGATTGCACTTTCCGTAGCGGAAATTTTTTTATAAGTTCACATTTCCTCCAATTTATTTATTCTAAATTTGTTAGTTAGAAAACTTTCAAGATAATCGTAGTATATCATATAGTTATCATGTCATACCATATCACCAAAATATTGCTATGACATCACTTCTCAGCTATTTCATATAAATAATTCCTCTCAATTTATATAATAAAAATCCCGATTATATATATACATATATGGAATTTTTAAGTTTATTTTTGTATGTAACTGGAACTTTAAGACTAAATTACTCGTATAACATTAATATTTGTTCCTTCATGATATATTTCACATACCTAAGTTTCATAAAGAAATTAGGATTTATAATGTTTCAGCAAGGATTTCTGGCTATTTAATTTTTCAAGCATTCATAAAGCAAACAATAATAAATCTGATCATTAATTCAGAATTTGCAATTTTTTCAAATAAGATTTGGAAATGTTTTAAATTCAACAAATTCTATACATATATCTTATTATCATATCACTCATTTTATTTTAGTCAGTTATCAATTTTATTTGTTTAAATTTAAGATTGTATGAAATACAAATTGATTCAACATAAGTCATTGACAAAAAAAAAATACGCTTTCCAAAAAGCAAACGGAAAAGCCCTTTTTTTTTTATCACTTGTAAATTCGCAATGGAATTGCTATGCTGTTGTGATATATCAGCCTATCATTTTTCCATTTTTTTTTTCTTGCTCATCAAATTTCATTCTTTTCACATTTATTGCTATATGCATTTTGTTTACTCTATCCATTTCATCGATAAGTTTCTTCCTTTTTCGAAGGTTTTTTTTTTTCGAAATTTAAGTATTTTTTGTATTGAGATGGTAAGAATAATAAATTGGACGAATAACTTGCAATCTTTTGAACCTAAAATTTTAAATGAGATTTCGATGAAATTTCATTAGTAATAGAAAAGATAATTAAAATTATTGTATTTCTGTGAAATTTTGAATTTGGATGAAATTTTAATTTTGATAGAAAAATTTCTGCAATAAAGTATTTGTGTGTAATAATTGTCTGTAGCAAGATTTATTGGCATTTAATTTTCAACAATATCGATTTATTTTGAATTGATTTCTGTAATTCGTATATATTATCAAGCGGAAAGTATTCGTCATGTGAAACGGTGAATTTTCCTTTTATATACGTTTAATTGAATTTTGAATTTTCAGGATCAGTGAATTTTTAGGATGCCAGCAACGGCACAGGCCTTCAATAGGATATTGGATGATCTTGCACGTCGGCAGCTTCTTCTTGATTTTCAATTTGGCGCAGCTGGAAGTAGCTATGAAGCAATCAGAAATATAGGTTCTGGTGCATTTGGAATCGTATGCGAAGCAGTTGAAACAAATTCAGGAACAAAAGTTAGTTAATTTTTGAAAATTTTTCCTAATTTCTAAGATTTTTTTTTCTTGAAATTTAAAACAAGAATTTCGATTTATTGCATTCGAAATTTTGTCTTTCATCTTTTTTTTTTTTCGATTATCAATGATGACTTATTTAGGTTGCCATCAAAAAAATCGGTCATGCATCAGCAACGCCAACTTCAGCTAGGCGTACATTACGTGAAATTCGAGTGCTGCGTTATATTGCTCATGAAAATATTGTTAGCCTCAGGGATATCTTTCGAACACCCGGGAATTTAGGCATGTTTCCAAAATTTTATTTTGAATGAAATAAATTTTTTACAGATAGAATTGAATAAGTTTATCATATTTAATTATTATATGCATTGCTTTTTTTTTTTTTTTAAGGAATAAATGTTTATCTTGTGATGGACCTTATGGAGGGCAATCTTCATCATCTTATTTATTGTGGTGGCCCAATGGAAGATGATTTAATTTCACATTTTCTGTATCAAATATTACGAGGACTTAGGGTAAGCATTTTACTCATCAAATTTTTTAAATTTTAAAATCTATCTATTAAAATTGTACTTAAACTTTTATTAATTTTAGTACATACATGCTGCCGGTATTGCTCATCGAGACTTGAAACCATCAAATTTACTTGTAAATGGCGATTGTCATTTACGCATTGCTGATTTTGGTATGGCTAAATTAGCAATGAAAAATCAAATTGAAGAAGTGGAAGAACATTCATTCTACATGACACAACATATAACTACACTGCCATATAGGTAATTAATATTTTATCTAATCAAAAAACGATCGATTTTATTTTGAAATGTAATTTATGGAATTTAAATGAAATTATGAAATTCGAGAAATTTTTTTTTTCCTAGTCCATTTTGAATTTTAATTTAAGATGAGAGATATGATTTCGAATTTGTCATACATAGAAATGACAAATAATACAATCCATCGATGAATCAATTAAAAGTGCAGATTTGAAAGTATGCTTTGTTAACATGAAAAAAAAGAAAGAAATAAGATAGATGACTCATCGAGAATAAAAATTTTCCAGAGCTCCCGAGCTTCTTTTTGTGATGCCAGAACATTCAACAGCAGTAGATTTATGGGCAGTTGCTTGCATTTTTGCTGAAATGATTATTCGTCGGGAATTATTTCCTGGTCGAAGTGTAAGTGGACAAATAAAAATTATTGTTACCATGCTGGGTGCGCCTTCGGAAAAGGTTTCTTTTCTTTTTTTTTTTTTTAAATCATATTTATGATGTGTAATTTGGGTATCATATCAAATTGAAGAAATTTTGCTTTGTAATTTAATATGAATAAGGAGAAGTTTGGTAAAAATGCGAGAAAATTATTAAATGTGATACAGAATGCCGGATACTCATAGGTTTTATTTTAATTTTACTGGCAGTTAAAAATGTTAGAAAAAAAAATAATAAAATTATATTTTGATGGTTGATAATTATGAAGATCGTTTGAAACAGGAAATTCATCTATTTCTTTCAAAATTAATCCTAAAATTTGCACTTTCTTATGATCAAAAAAGGCATAATGTTGTCGAAACAACAATTTATATTATCCAATGAACATTATTTAAATTTATTAGTAAATTAATCCTGAAATACTTAATTTTTAGATTAATATAACATGATTTTCGTCCTTTTTTTTCTTGCTTCAGATTCTAAATCAGATTCAATGCGATCGAACACGACGTTTAATTGAAAATTTCGGTGACCATCCAATACGACCTTGGAACGAAATTATTCGCGATAAAGCCGATTCTTTTCAAACCTTGGATTTAATTGCTAAAATGACCAAAATGGATCCGGAAGAGCGAATTGATGTTAATGAAGCCATTCAGCATCCATATTTCAAAGAATATTATCCTAATATTATCAATGAGCAAGCTTGCCCTTTCAAGGTAAAATTTCTGTTTTTTTTTTCTTTTTCAATCATCACAGTAAATAATTTTTGATTTTTTCTAGTTTAGAAGTTAAAAAGTAAACCAGTTCAATTTGATAATATAGTAACATACATTTGAGAATTTTCTAAAGAGATAAAGAGATATGATTTCGAATTTTATCTTTCGTAGGAATGACAAATAATACAACTCATCGATGAGTCAATTAAAAGTGCAAATTTAAAAGTATGTATTAGTTTTAATAAAATCTTAATTTTTTTTTACCATTTTTTTTTTTTTTGGTTGAAAATGAATGATGAAGATGATCTCAATTTTTTTTTTTCTTTTGCTAATTTTAGGTGAAAATGGATATGGCAGCGATTGAAACTTTGTCCCATGAGGGTCTTGTTCAAGCTTTGATCAACGATGTCCGTGGAGCGGATGAAACTGATTTTACAACTCATTCAGCAGATGTAGCATTAACGCCAGGCGATTCATCCTCAGGAGTAACTTTTCATTTTCTCATTCCTCAGTGATAAAATAGATGTTTTGAAAAATATTATGCCTAAACAATCCATTCATTTCCCTACAATCAAATTTTGTATTCGAATAAATGATTTCAATATTATTACTGATAAGGAAAAAAAAATGTGTAATTTTTAAATTAATAATTTCTATTCCTGTTAAAAACACATTTTTCATTATCTTTTAAAATTTATCATTTAATATTCAATATATATTATTTAAAAAAGAAAGAAATGAAATGAAATGAAAAATTTATTTGCAGTATTACTTGCAGATATCTGAGGGAAGTACATCAGCTAGTGAAGATCTCCGGCAGATGACATTCAGATAACACGTTGATGAAAATGCTACTGATTATCGGAAAAATCGATTGTTCAAATAATAGTTGATGTAGAAAAAGAAATTTTTTTTTTCACCGAAAAAAAATTTAGCAATTATCGATTTTTTCTTTCTCATCTTTCAAATGTTTTGTATGATTAAATTAAAAAGAAAAAAAAAAATTTTTTTTTTCGATTAATGTCAAAGGAATGTGTTTGTTTTTCTTTTTTGTTTTAAAACACATGCTTCATCGCCTTTTTTTTTTTTCATTTGAAACTGTGTACAAAGGAAAAAAAAAAGAGAAAAATCTCATTTCTTTTTCCCAAAAAATTATGTATATATTAACTTACCTGACGTATATTTATCTAAATATTTCAAAACGATGTTATCCATGAAGAAGATTTTCATGGTCATCTAAAAATGCAATTTTCTTTTCACGCAAAAGGGAAAGAAAAAAAAAAAAGAAATGGCTATGTTAGATTAAAAGAAAGAAAGGAATGATAAATTTAAAATGGAACGTTTCTTTTTTTTTTTTTCAACTTGAAAATAATATATCATTAGAAATTTCAATGCAAAAAATGAATAACAACCGGTTGTTGAATTTTGAAAAATAATTAATTCTGAATGTCTTCTCATCATCCCACGTGTTTCATCGTCAAATGGTACTGCAAAAGTTACAATGGTTAATGCTATCGTCGTTATTTACGCTATATATACATATATGTAATTTTTTTTTTCTTGTTTAAGTGATACCTGTTTTTCCTGCATCAAAATAAATGAGGTAATGAATTTAAAACTAAACAATTAACTAAATGAACACCTGTTTTTTTTTTTGGAATATTTTTCTAAAAAAATTATCAAAATTTAAAAAGATAAATTGTAATACCATTTAACAAAAATGAAAATATTATTGATCGTTAACAATTAGGAGAGAGAGAGAGAGAGAGAGAAAGAGAGAGAGAAAGAAAGAAAGAGAAAGTGGGAAGTAATATGATGAAACTGGTTTTTCTAACCAGATTTAGATAGTCGTTTTGTGCAGTAGAAGCGTATTGTAGTGTAATCATTTTATCAGTGATCGATTAATTTACACACTCATACCGGAATGCAATCAGGTCAGTTTAATGAATATATGTTTAATATGCGATAAAAATGCTTCCAACATTTTATATGTTTAAATATGGTATAAAAAATATATTTGTCAATTTTTAAAAGGATTGTACTGATTGTTTTTTTTTTTTCTTCATGTCTCTCTTTTACTCTCTCCATATATTATTGGTTTTTTTTTTTCGTATTTTGTAGATACAAATTAGAACTTTTCACTCTCACTCTATCAAATTTGTCCATTCTTAACAAAATATTACATTGTTAGTTTTGTTTTTAAAAATTTTTAATGATATAAGCTAGCCTTATCAAGTTAATTCAATTTTTGGACTAGATCCAATGGTATTTCAATTCCAAGTATTCATGACATTATATATACTAATTGATAAAGGATGCTTTTTAATCTAATTTATCATTCAAGTCAATCTTCTACCTAATAAAATACAGAACACTTTCAATTGGAATTTCCAGAATTCATTGTATCAATAAATACGTATACGGATAATATCAATATTATATCATTATGTAGTTCGGGACAAGTAATTTTCGTTGCGTCATAAAATAACTGACCATTTGAGCCGTGTGAAATGATATTTCTTCCCGTTGAAGTTAAAATTTTTTTATTTCATTGGAGATGAGTGTTTGATGATCAATGGATTGATTGGTTAGTGCGTGGGAATGCAGTTGATAGGTTTATCAATCTCGATGCATTTAATAATAACCGGGAAATATGATGTTTAAAAGGGAGAGTGGAAGGGATGTATGTAAGGAAAGTGAATGGTAACGGGTGAATTAATCATACTCACCGGTTGCAGTGATAATGATTTTGAAGTGGGAGCAACGTAACGAACAAAAAAGGAAGAAATATATTGCCGCGAGAATGAAGAGGACAGAAAGTTAATGTGGAAAATGTGATAGACAAATTTTTCAGGAAGTGGGAAAAATGCAAGAAATAGTTATGAATGGACCAAAAATAAGGAAATGATAGAGGATGTTTATTAGATTGTTGAAGAAAGTTATGAGTTACTTTTCAGAATTTATTTATCGAGTTTGGAATTATAATTTTGAGATTGTTGGATAGTTGTCTACATTTATTTTCGAAATTATATAAGCTTTGAATGGATGGATGGTTTCAAAGTTTGCTTCCGAAATTCGGATAATATGATAGAGAGAAACGAAATGTTGATAGCAGCACATTGAGTGAAGAGAGATTTGTTTTTGTTAATAACAAAATCACGCATATTTCGGAGACATATCGGATAATGGAAGGTTCTTCTTCCTCTTCCTTTGTGGTTACTCTGAGCATCAGTTAAGCAAACCTTTGAGGTGATGATGACCTTTAATCTTTTTAGTTAGTTTTTAGTTATCCGTTAAATTCTTTAGAAATTGCTTTGAGTTAAGAAAGATATCTTTTAAAGAGATGTGTCAGCTCACGCTTCTTTTGACATTTTCCAGAAAATGTTTTGCGTGCATATTATTAGCTATAATTAAGTAAAGAAAAAACTAATTGCAGTGACTTTGCAGGTTAGTTATGGATGTCAGTGGAAGGTCACGTCGAGTGCCTTCCCTCTGGACTTCTGTTGGTCATGCACAGGTGGGTTTATCATGTTTCACTGAGTCATTGCATTATATGTATCTTCTCTCTAAAGAACGTTGCAGATTTTTACTCCGATAACTACTAAGGATAACTATCCTCCACATACCGTATTACGATGTCCGTATATGTTTGGAAAATATCGAGCATCTCGAAGTTCACTACACTAAAAAACTGTAGCTGATCATTCAATTGAAAGACTATTTTGGGAGCTTCTTAAATCACATTTTTTTACCTGCAATTCTTTCTGATCTTTACACATGGAATTTGAAACGTGGAGTGGAATAGATTGGTATCTTCATATACTTAATCTTCTGAGAATTAGTAGTAGCTTGAAGATAATGTGTAACGGACCGTTTAGTGTGTGCATTAAGAATTTCTATAATATATAAACTGATTATTTTCTTTGATATCATTCAATTTTCCCTATTTGAATGTCCGTTTATGTGTGTTTGCATTTTAGCCCTTTCAGAAGTGACTTTTCGTTTTGTTGTTACACTTTTATCCTTTCCATATCGAAATGATCAATATTGATCTTTTATGCATGCAATTTGTAGTGCAAAATTTAGAGCTTTTGTATGCATCAAGAAATATGGTTAAAAAGTTGGAAACGCAGTAATTAATAATTTTATTACACGTTATAACTAATGTTGACGTTTTTTGACCTGCTTTTCCCTTTTGTCGAAGCTCATTTAAAAATGCTATTTTGATTACTACCGTTTTTGAAAGTTCTTCAACTTTCCAATTTTGTTTGTTTTCAGAGTAGTACATAATCATAAGTAGTTTGATTTTATATTTGATGAACGTAGCTATATTATACGAAGTTAAGGGTAGTTCAACTTTTAAGGGTGTGATGAATGGTGAAGAGCGGAGCTATGGTTGGGTACGACCAACGTCACGACATTTATCACGTGAGATTGTGCATCGCTATGGTGTGAGAAATTCTCGAAGTTTCGTGAGCAAATACTCCTATGGTGCACGGTTTAAGGTATCTTGCTTGTGTATAATTCAGCATTATCTTTTTTTGCATTTTACTTTCTATTGTTTCCCTTATTTTATTTTTTCATTTTTTTTATCTATCACAACATTAAGAAGATAATAGAATTGGTAATACATGAGTAAATTTTATTCTACTGTAATAAACCTGCGAAATAATATTGTTTGCAATAAGCAAAATAATGTTCAAAAAACAATGATGTGATGTTACTGTTACTGATGCAGTATCCTATATCATTAACAGCGACATTGCATCATTGAAGGAGCATCTTTGCTTTGATTTTGTAGAGTTACGAACACATTTTTGTCATATCTTTTCATATTGTTCTGATTTCATGACTAAACCACCGTTTCGTTCAGAGCCAACATAACATACCTATGACACAATTTCTCCTTACCTTTCTTGAAGTTTTTAGGAGATATTTGTCCTTTCTGCTTTTTATTCGTTTCACATCTCGATGAGATGTTCAGAATGGGCAGTTGTGAAAAAGGATTTAGGTACAAATATAGAGTCATAAATTTGAATGAAACGACTATCAACTCATTTTTTTAATAATTTGCTGTTACTTATCTAACAGTCAAATACAAGAAGATTTGATGTTGTCTTTTCTAATGTTTTATTCTTGGAGCAGAGGTAAGCTGTTTCTGTGCTTAAAGTAACAGAAATGTTAGCCTGATGTGCTGTATGATCTATTCATTTTTTGTTCAGAAGGGTACAGATGACTATAAAAAATCCGTCGCGAAAACCTACCCATATCATCACTTTAAGTTTCAGTTCTGCTTTCCTTTTATATATTAGTGCTTCTTTTACGAAATAATACGAAATTACTCTGTTGAAAATATGCTGACTATGTCATATAAAATTGAAAACGAAATTGGAAATGCAAATTTCATTTTATGAGAATGAATTGAAATCTTTCAAAATTACAAAGGAAAAAAAAAACTGAGAGTAGGCAAATCCGAGCTTGATTATGAAATCTTGAATATATTTTTAACAAATGCTTACCATAGCAGTTTTTTGCATTTCTTCACTTCAAATCCTCATATTTCTATTCATGTGAAAGTTGCAGCCTGGTTCTTCAATATCGTGGCAAGCAGAGTTACTTTATACAGAGGGTTACAATTGTCGGATGTTAGTTAAGCCACCCAGACCAAATGATTAGCACAGAATCCGTAGATTAGCTAACAGTCATCAAATTTGTGCTGGATTTGAGGAGCTAAGTTTCCGAACCGTAAC